GGTGGTACAGTACAGTGAGACAGCAGTACAGTACAGTGACAGAGCAGAACAGTCACAATGACTTCCTGCAGACATGGCGCAAATCAAAGTGTCCAGTCTCATGAAAAATGGACAGCAGAGAGACGCAGCAGTGCAGGAGAACACTCCCGGGACTCGAGTTAAAGAAACAGGACAGTTCCCACCCCCCCCTGGCCGGGGCACGAGCTATATCACAGTACTCCTGGTTCAAATCCCAATAGACACAGCTCAGCCCGTATCTGCTGGTGACCAGTGCCTTCAAACCTCAGCAGAGACTGCTTTGTGACAGCACTGCTTTCATGAGAGACCGCTGACCTTCCACTGCATTACCAGTGACATTGACAGGCAGACAGCCCAAACTGGTTCAACAGTTAAGCAACACCTACCAGTTCGGACCATTGGAAACCCGCGGCTAAATTCCTCTGCCACCAAGTGCAATTTCCAGTTGGGCACAAGCAGAAACTACACCGAAGAGCATTTAAAATGGAGAGCCGGAGGCACCCGGAGGCTCTACTTTACAGAGTGGTGGGAGAGTGAAGCAAGCCGCCCAGCCATGTTATTGAAACTGATTCCCTGACTTCTCTCAAGAAACAGCCGGATGAGATCCTGGGATCAATGAACTATTACTAGGCCAGATGGGCAGAATGAACTCCTCTTGTCTCTGGGCTGTCTTGTGCTCTTTTGTCTCACCTGGGACTGCTTTGCACTTGACTGATTCTGATTGAGCTCTCTGTTATAAATGCCAAAAAGATAAGTAAAGATAAGCAAAGTAAAAGCAAAATACATTCACAGCATAACATCGGGAGGGGAGCTGCGTCAGCATGCGCAGGCTGCAAAGGAACAAGTGATAGGTTTATTCCCTGCTGAAAAGAGAAGAAAGAAAACAACGTTTCGGTCGTGGAGCCTTCTTCAGGGTGTGAGGGCACAGATGTCGAACATATATCGGCACAGATGGAAAAGTCAAATGCCAACCTGCTGTGTACACCTCTATTAGAACTAGCCATCTTTTTCTCCTCCTTCGGACTACTTTTCTGGCTCGTTGTCCACGCTTGCACAATAGCACTCGGTGTACTCCTGCGATGTACGTTTCTTCCCAGATCGGCAATCATCCCCCAAAAAACACACAAATGACTAACGGGAATGAGCTGGCTCCGTGCCTGTGCTATCACCCCGAGGCGCTTGTCGCACGTTCAACCGGGCGCTACCGGAGGGCGTGGAAGGACGGGTGAGTGGGCGTGTCATCTGCGATGTGGGCGTGGTTATTACCGTGGGGGGCGGGCATAGCGGAGCTTCTGTGGGATGGAGGGGCGTGGTTTCTATCGCCGGGGGCTCCCGCTTGGCTGCAATCCTGCGTTTTGACTGTTTTGCTTTTATCTTCTTCCTTTCTTTGCCGGCAGAGTTTCGCAAAACGACAACTATTTTTTTTGTCGTCGTTCCGTAAGAATAGGGGCAGAAGCTACAGTATATAAAGAGACGGGACGTGTGTGCCGCTCATCTCAGACTGACACCCCGTGTGCGCTGTGAGCT